ATGGTACAGCCAAAGGAGGAAATTCTCGTTCTCATGCTTTGCTGTTCACAGCTTCCAGCCTTAGCTCCTTGTGAGGCAGCACCATGGGGCTGTGGAGGTGTGCCTGGAGCCAGGACAGGTGAGAGAAGGCACCTTCTCTCTCTTACCTGGGGAAAAAACCCAACTCAGAATCCAGATATTATTATTATTCCATTGGTCTGTTCTGCATCTCACAGGAAATAACAAGTGACTGTACAAAACAACTCAAATCCACAGAGGTAATACAGAAATTCGGTCTTGTCTCAAAATTTCCAAATCCAAAGCCATTCCTGAGGAAGCAACATATTCCAAGTGGAGCTGAAACATGCCTATGATAGGTCTGAAGGACCTCCTAGCAAGCCAGGACACAAAACAAAATGAATGCATGCTGGTCTGGTCCAATTTCATCCAGAAATTTGAAATAAAAAACAAATGCCAGAGCACCCCTTTTCCTGAAAGGGAAACTTTAGAATTGCTTTATACTTTAGAACTGCTGTGAAAGGAAAACTGAAGAGCCAGTGCTCTCAGATTGAAAGTAAAACATCTGGGGCCGCCCCCATCAGCACTGACTGCTCCTCCAGTAGTCTGAAATAGCAATATGGAAAAGTATTGTCTGTCCACAAAACTATTTCACACATCTTCAAACATTATCATTCTGGTTCAAAAGAGGGTAAATTTAAATTTGTGTTCTCTCCTACACAGGAAAACATGGTTTTTCTACAAGAACAGTCCTACATGGTCTGATCTAACATCTCAGGACAACTGGAACATACCTTCACCAGAACTCTGTTCCCACCCTGCTGGAAGGGCACAGTGGCCTTTTCATTCCAAGGACTGTTCCCACCACAACTCATTACAGTAAGAAGGTTTTTACTCAGAATTCTGTTTCCATAATTGGGCCCAAACACGTTACCTGGAGCCCATTAGCCTATCAATTAATGGCTGCACACAGTCATTAGGATCCATGAGCTCATCAGGGGTTCAGCCTGGCTCAGACCCAAGGGGGAACCAGCAGCTGGGGCAGCCAAAGGGTTAAAATCCCATGTCAAACAGCAAGTCCTGGCTCTGGACCAGAAGGGACATGGGAACCAGGGCAGCTGAGTTATAAAGGCCTTATTGTAGCAGCCCACTGGATTGGAAATGACTTGTAGGCCTAATGAAACAAAACTTTGGCAGTAAAACAGAATGAAAGGAATGAGACAATAAAAGAGAGGAACAAAGGGAGCAGAGTTGTTTCAGCTTAGAAAAATAAGCTCACTTTGTTGTTGGGAAAAGCCAAAGCCGATTAGGATAAACCAATGACTAGGCATAAGTCTTCCAAACTAATTACACAGTTGGCCATGTGAAGTGTAATTGCAAGGTGCAGGCGAAGGCCTGGGCTGCTCCCACAGGAGCTGTGTGCAGGGAGCAGCACCTGGGGAACACCTGGAGCCCTCCCTGCCCTCGGGGCCGTGCTGCACTCTGAGCTGCAGCACATGCAGGTCTCCTCCGAGCCCACGAGCATTCAGAGCTTTCCTCTACTGCTCGCAGGACTCCAGGGGAGCCTTGAGGAGTCTGTTGTGGTTTTTTCATTTTTTAAATGATGCCTGATGCCTTAAATGCTCTATCATGTCCCAGTCTCAGAGCTCCACGCTTCCCACCCCTCCAGCCAGCCAGAAAACAGTCAGACCTGCAGCCACAGCATGGCCTCTTCGGAGGGGAGCAATGCCAGCCCCACTGAGCTCCCCCTGCATCTCCTCAGCTTAAAAAACTTCTCATATAAATTCTTCTAAAGCCTGGTCTCAGCAGCTTTTCACACCCAGCACAAGGGCAATGCTGCAGAGCCCAGAACGGGTCAACATGGACAGTGAATTATTTTGTTTGTAAGAATGTTTGAAACTGAAACAGGAGAGGATCTTGCAAACGACTGCATCAGACTGTCAGGATCGGGAGCAACACAATGGCTTTTTTTTTCCTTCTTCTAATTGTAAATGCTTATGGCTTAGTTTGGTATTTTCCCAGCTTTGCCTTCTCATCTCCTCCATGGATTCTGCTCCCTGAAATGACTGGAAGAAGAATCCTTCCCCTCCTCAGCACCCAGACCCCACCAAGCCTCTCTGGGGAGCCCCAAACACCCGCAGGTGCCCAGGACCAGCCTCAGCAGCTCTAAGCTGCTGTTCATTACACTGTTCCATGCTCCTTTTGTGATGCCTTTTGCCTTCACTCAGGGGTCGTTTTCCCCAGTTTCCTCCACCGCTTAAGGCAGCTAAGGATGCCGACCTTGCCAAAAGGAAATCTGGGACTCCTGGGCTTTTTTGGAAAGAAAAACTAATCACTATGAGAACTCTTACAAGCTAAGTTTCAGGAATTATCATTACCACATACTTTGGGTGCTGTATCATCAAGCACTGTCACTGGTGGGTTTACTAAAGCTTTTCCTTTTCTTGGAGACAAAGGTTCTGGCACTGACTTTTCAAAAAGCTGCAGTTTCAAATTCAAACTTTACCCCCCTACTTCCAACTCCAGTTATACGAGAGAGCCTGCCTGGCCCCAAGGCTGGTGGCTGCTGTCCCCACATCCTGTGTTCTGAGAACTGCTTCCAGTCACCAAACAAGCTCCCCTGGCTGCAAAGCTCCTCTCCACAGCAAGTACAAACACGACTGCAGGAATCGCAGCAGTCGGCAGGCAATTTTTTCCACGCCAATAAATAAGCTCAGCGTTTCAAAGAGCAAATCACCTGAGATGCTCTTATCAAACATGGGCGGCTCCTCACACATTAATTATGTAATGCAATTTGTTTTATTTTAAGAAAGCTCTAAGCAAAGGCAGAGCTGGCCGATCGATGTGGATCACTGTGTGCATGGAAATGGCCCAACTGGAGAGCCAGGCTGAGTGCTGAGCACAGGCCCTGCCTCAGAGGGCTGATCTCAGCACAGAAGTCCCAGAGGGGCAGGGAAGTGGGATGGAGAAGGACTGACTCCTGCAAGATCCTGCAGCACCAGTCCTGGGTCACGGTATCTGAACGCAGCATCCCAGTGTCCACAGCAAGTTACCAAGTCTTCTAATTTAGCTGAACCACAGCTCCCCACTTCTAAGCGTTATCAACCACCCCCTGACAACCAGAGCCTTGAGCAAAATCTCCTCAAAACACCCCAAAACCAAAAGCTGATAAAAAGCAGTGCCAGGGGGAGAACTCAAACACCTCCACCAAGGTCGAGTCACGGTCACACAGCCAAGCAGCCTCTGCTCCAAACACCACCAGCTTCACCAAACTCTCCACAATGGGTCTTCTGGAACAGGGGACTGTAAAACAGGTCACCTGCAGTGACAGGACAAGCCCTGCAAGCCTGGCTCCTGCAGGAGCTCAGTTCTAGTTCTTGGACACGCAGCCTCAGTGGGACAACCCCAGCTGTGCTGACATGGGAATGCATTCCTACCTTGATCCCAACTTGTGCAATTTTCAGCTCCTTAAATTTTTTAGCCCACAAAATTAAGACACTTGAAAAAAACACTTGATTTTTCCGAAGTACTGCCTTTGGGAAGGCAAACCTCTGCTAAGCTGTCTCAAGAATGGCAGAGCATGAAAGCAGAACCAAAGCGTCCCGAATCCCCAGTCACTCCCGAGACACAGCCTAGCTGCTGCATTCTCAGGGACTGTAAAACTGCAAGCATGAAACTACCAGATGGTGAAATTAAAAAGCCTATATTAAGACAACATCCAGACAATATGCAAAGTACTTATATTGAAACTATTATTAACTTGAAAAATACAGGTTAGTGGAGTTCTGCAATTAGAAGTAACTACAGAAGAAACATCCAAAAGCTCATGTAATCCTTTAATAAAAGGCTCAGCAGGCTGTAAACATCCTGCCGGAATCGAAGATTATTATTGAAAATAAAATGACTGGTTTGCAAAACAACTATCAATCCAGCACAGGAACCATTTATAAACTCGCCTCCTCAGCCCTCAACAAAATCCTGCCTGGCTCAGGCTTTCCAGGGCATATAAAAGAAACATAAACTAACTACAAGGAATGGGAACTGCTTTGCTTTGGGATATCCTGCTGTGTCCTCACGCAATCTTGCATCTAAAACATCGATTGCTGCACTCCAAAAGACAGGAATCGAGCTGTCAGGCTGGAACCCATGGAGCTGGAACTCATGGGGTCCCGTGGACAGTGGGGCTGGCAGAAGGCAGCAGCACAAACTGTTCTCAGAGCAGGCAGCTCCATGAGCTCATCACCCGTAGCACTCCTGAACAAGCGTTCAGAAGCTGTGGGGATCCAGGGAGCTCCATAGAAGTCAGTGTCACTGGGCCAAAGCCTGGACAGTGGGGTTTGAGCTGGTACATCACAGCAAAGACTACTCTGGCAAGGCTCAGATCTCCTTCTCTGTGTAAACTTGTTTGTTTTGGGGCTTTGGTGAGGGTTTTTTTGCTGGGGGGGGGGGGTGGTTTGGGGGGGATTGTTTGGTTTTTTGTTTTGTTGGGTTTTGTTTTGTTTGTTTTTTTTTCAATGATGCCAGCATTCTACACATACTTGCAGAAGGATTTTCTAGTAAGAAATTAAGTGGATATTCTAGTGACTTCCACATTACTCTTGCTTTTCACGTGGTTCCTTCAGGCATTTTCACAAATTAATGAGCTCTCCAATACGTCTATCTGCCCTTTTTTGCCACTGGAATCAGGACTAACAGAGGCCTGATTTTATGGAGAAGACAACTGTGTAATCCTTCAGCTAAGGGTCAGATTCTTCTTGAACAGACACGGATTCACCTCCTAGTGATGCTTTTTTTCTTTAGTGGAAGTAAACAGTTGGCAATGTTGTACACACACAAGCAACAAACAGGAAAGGAATCCCTTAGGCCTCAAGAAGTGACACAGAAAGGCAAAAGCTTGGCCCTCCTTTGAGCTCAGTCCTCAATGCACCTTTTTTTTCAAAACACATTTTAAAAACAAAGGCAAGAAAGAACAACTTTGTAGTGCTCACTTGGGCAGAACTTACCTTGCCAAACTGTTCAAAGTATTGCTTCACGTCTTCCACTACTGTGTTAGCCGATAATCCACCTACAAATATTTTCTTTGTTCTTGTGACCATCTGTAAGAAATTACAAGACAAGCATATGGTTTAACCAGATTATTTCAAACAATAAGTGGAAAAAAGAAATACTCTTCAGATCCCATCCCTAACCCAAATGATGAGAATACTTCTTTACAAAACCAATTTCAATTCAATTTGATTAGATACTTCTTTCTCCGTCTTGTTTTGTTTTTATTTGAGAGATGGCTGAGTAAAGGCTCTCAATAACAACTCTAGCCCCCGGATATTTTTTTTTAATAAATGATTTTTATTGTGCTTCTGAATGCAAATATAAGTGAAAAAGGAGTCCAAGCATTGTATCTTCATAGCTACTGTCTCAAACCAGAGGTGCTTTTGCCCCTCCTTTTCCTACAGACAGGCTGAATGCTCTTTGGCAGACAAAAGGCAATTACATCAAATTGAAGCGATGTGTTATTAACTTTCCATGGGTCAGTTTAAAAGGAACTTGCACAGTTACTTTTAAAATAATCAAACGATGAAAGACAGCCAGAGCTGCCGACGCAGCATCCTCCAGCTACCGCAGCCCATGCTCATGGAATCACCATCCACAGGGCTGGATTAGCCCCTCCAGGAACCTGTCCATGCTCCCCAGATCAGCCCCTCCAGGAACCTGTCTGTGTTCCCCAGAGCCCAGCTGAACAGCCTGCTCCTCCTGCTGCCCCAGGTGCCCGAGTTTGGCCCCACAAGGCAAAGGGATGGTGCTGGATCCTCTACAGAGAATTCGCCACAGCAGAACCCACCATCCATAACCTGCAGCTCTTGAGGATGGGCAGGATCAGCCCAGGGACACAAAGCCTAAGGTGTCTTTGGTGGGCTGATCCCAAGCCACCTGATGCTTGTGGGCCACGACGACTCAAGGCAGATCCAGGGCAATGCTGTCAGCACTCTCAGAAGGGGCTGGGGAGGGCTCAGAGAAGGCCATGCCCTGCAGCTGGAGACAGTTCAGCAGCAGCCACCCCACCTCAGAGAGATGTTTGAGTCAACAGAGCCCAACTCAGGACACCAAGCAACACCCCAGTACCAAACACAGGCATCAAAATGCACTTTCTCTGGAAACTGGGTGAAGCAGCCAACTTCCAGAGACTGAAGGGAAAAACACCCCTACCTCCAGAGCCAGGACCTGCCTGGTTAACCACAGACTGGCAAACAGAGGCACGGGCACTGCTACCCTGTTACCTGGAAGTTTTATCACTTTCTGATTTTCTTGCTAAAGACTCTGAAGATGCCTTTTCTGAGGGCTGCTGAGGTCACGAGGACAGCTCAGACCTGCTCCACACCAAGGGCCACCCTGTCACACCACACCAGAGTGGCAAAGCCTCCACGGGGCTGAGGCATCGGACACAAAGCTCGGAGCAGCCCCAAATCCTCCCAGCATGGAACAAAATAATCATCACTCCTGTCCCCACAACCATGCACATCAGCCAGGGTGGATATTTCCCTCAGTCAGCTCCAATCACACCTTACAGAGCCTCACTTTTTCTGTTTGGGTTTTTTTATAAGTCAGGAAGAAAAAGAGAGGAGGGGGAAAAAAAAAGTGTAAAAATTCAATTATTTTTTCCTGGCTGCAATCTAGGGCTCTGAAATTGAAGCCCAAGCATATATTTTTCTGTAGAAAATTGTCATTTACAAATAAAGAATTGGCTAAAACCGACTTGTAACTAAAGGATTTTGCAGGGCTGTCAAGAGCCCTCTGCCTGCCAGCATCTGATTTAAGATCAGGCCAAGCTTCTGTTGTCATACAAAAGAGGGAGGAAAGCAATTATTCTAAAGCAGTATTTGAAATTATCATCATTTTTATATTTGACCAGGAAAGAAAGAAAAAGAGAGCTACTGCTTTTAGAAGCAAGATTGAAGGTTATAGGGAAGAAAAAAAAAAAAAAAAGACCACTTTGTTTCAATAGCTTCAGTCAAAGAAAATATTGGTAATGACAAGCAAATTCACAACATTTTAATGCCTAGAGATGTGTTGTGAGCTGGGAAATGGTTTCAGAAATCAGCTCTTTGCTACCAAAGCAAAGCACAAAATTAAGTCTGCTTTTACAATCCATGTTTCCCTGAAGAGACGGTTCAATTGCTTTGTTACCACATCCCCCCAGCAGTGAGAACAGAAAATGCACAGCCTGAGCCGTCCCTGCCATCCTGAGGTGCCTCAGGAGCAGGATCTGCTGCCTCCTCCCACCTGTGGCACCGCGGCCTCACCTGGCCAAGCCGAGGGTGCCGGCAGCGGGAGACCACGGGCAGGGGCCCCGGAGCAGCCTGCTCCCCTCAGGGGTAAGGGAAGCCCCCGCCACAGAGCCACGATGACCCCCCACACTCAGCCGGGGCTCAGCCCGGGCCAGCCCCGGCACAGGAAGAGCAATCGCCGGTTTCCTTCCCCACTGCTCTGCTGGTGAGCTGCTCCCGCTCCACGGCTGCTCCCGCTCCATGGCTGCTCCCAAACCTGACTTTGCTGCTGCCGCTGCGGCCTCACTGCAGCCACCGGGTACCGTGTGGGACTAGCACCGGCTGCACACAGCCTCGGGCCCCGCTCCAGCCTGCACAGCCTCGCTCCGCAGGCCAACAGGTGAGACGGGGCGAGACGCGCCAGGGAAAAGTGCAGAGCGCACGGCTCCGGGAGCAGAGCAGGGCACTGGACCCTCGGCCACGCTCTGCCAGCCTCAAGTTCCTCCGGGGAAAGCCGCTGAGGATCCTGATCTTTTCCTGTGAGTAAATTCAGCACCTGCTTTCTGGAGGTCGCCCACAACGGGGACGCTCCCACCAGCACCAGTCACAGAGGCACTGGCGAGTTTGGATCCTCTGCCAGCAGCCCCGGCTGCCCTCGCCTGGGCTTTGGGTAATAGGAAGCGATTTGTGTGAATCAATCACAAGCCCACGTTTTATTAACGACTCCAGGAGGTCTGGGTCACTCTGAAACCACAATACTTACAGCTCCGTGTCTTTGGATTTCATTTGCAGTATAATATATCCACCCCTGGCTACTGCAGGGCTCTGCAAAACTGGCTACAAGATGGTTTTGGAGGGTTTGTGTGCTGAAGGTGTCTCTCTCTCTCACAGGAGAGGCAGATCTGAGGCTGGTGTGAGGCCCATTAATTGTGAGCATCGCAGAACTGCTGTTTGTATACGGTGTTGGTGCCGAGTTAATCAAAACACATGTGACTACTCCTGCGAGGAGGCATTCAAGGTTGCATTCTCTTTACTGGCTTGGCTTTTGAAAAATATAATCGCCTTTGTGCTCTGAAACTGAGGAAACAGTTCAGGAGGTGCAGGAGCAGGAAAAAAAACCTTCCCTGCCCTAGCCAGGCAAGTCTGCTGAGTTTCTGCCGTTCTGTGCAAGGTTAGGGTTGTAATTAGATCAGTTTGGGGCAGATCAGGTAAATCTCCTCTAAACAACAGACAGAAGACGCAGTCTCTGGGAATGAAAGTCTTGTCCCACTCAAGCATGCCAATACAAATGTGAGCTAAACCCAGCCTCCCTGGATGAAATGAAGGAATGGAGTTTTGCAGAGCTGGGGGCTCCAGCCCCTGAACACCCCTCACACACACACTAATGCTGCTCATCATCTTCTGGTTCTTCCTTCCCTGCCAAAACTGTTTTATAATCCTGACTTCTAAAAATGACCAAAGAAGATTTTAAGCTCATTAAATATATTGCTGGATTCCCAGAATTTCAAAATCTCAAGCAGTAAGTATCCACCCTTCCTTGTAGATGAGTCAAGGGCCTGTCTACATTCAACAAAGAAGTTAAATATGTAACTTCAGGTTAATGGCTTTTAGTATCATTTCCCAACCATTCTTCACACAGCCTTTTAGCTGTCCCCCTGCCCCCAGTTTTAGCGCAGAGTTCCTGGCTCAGGATTGGTGAGGTTGGAAAGGATGAGTGCTGACACCCAGCTGGCACAGAGGGGAGCCCGAGTGTGCCACTGGCAGGCCATGTTGGGAAGTAAAATCCATGTAAAATCCCAAAGCAGCAGAGACACAAACCCAGCACATGGGGCTCAAGGAAAACCCCAGACACCTGTGCCTGAACTCCATTCTGGCACTTTCCAGTGTGGAATTCATCAAGGCTTTGCATCCTCAACTTCTCCATATGGTGGAAATGGACTAGAGTACTAATAGTGAATCTGCATCGCAAGTTGCTGAAGTTAGAATTAATTTCAGCTTAAACTAATTATGCATATGTAACTCTTTTCCAGAGCACTCTCCTCTCTCTTGTACAACAACGTGTGCAGGGGTGCACATGTATCCCAGCCTGCTTACCTCATCTGCAGTTTGGCATTCCATCATTTCTAGTGTATCCACCTTCTAAATAGGTTTATAATTGAAAAAAACAGCTTTGGTATCTGTGCTGAGCTGTATTTTATAACCCATTGTGCTGTACATTCAAACTACAGCATTACTTCTAATTAAAAACAACAATAATTCATGTAACAGGGGAAGTGATCTTGTTAACAGAACAGCCAGGCTTCTTTGGCAGAGCACACACCATAAGAATTCTCCAGGTTTTTTTAGATTTTTTGCCTCTGGGATCCTCCTAGGAAGTTCCAAAAAGCTATTAAAAACTCAACTGAAATGTTGCAAGTGCAACATTTGCAACATCGTGTTTAGTGAAAGCTGCTCACAGAGAACACCCCAGACCCATTGTGTCTCCAGGTATTTCTGCACAGGTGACAAGTGAGGGAGGTGCTGTGCTGAGCACTGTGTCCCGTGTGAAGCACATCCCGCTCCACGGGAGTGCAATCCCGTGCAAAGGCAACGCGGCTTTGTGCCATGTACAGCACGCTTAAGTATTCAAAATGGGATTCCAGCAAGACTTAAATGGTGTAAATACCTTTTGCCTGACCCCTGTGTAAGCTCACGTCATCCTGTGAGAACTGCTCGAGCTATAGAAGGTACGTGGGAATGAAAGAGCTCTTTAATCCAAACAAGCGGCACACATTCCCAGCAGGGTAAATCAAATCAGTTCCCCTGATTTCTGGGAAAACACAGATGGGTTATAT